CTAGAAGAAAAACACACATAAACCCTACGAAGAAGTAAGAAAATTGATACATACATACATACATACATACATACATACATACATATATATATATATATATATATATATAGGAAAAGATGATGCATGAATACGAGATTTGTGGTAAAGGAAACACACTGGAGGTGGTGTGTGAGGGAGGGAGGGAGGGAGGGGAGAAACCGAGGCTCGAAAAAGCAGAGTGAAAGGAGGTGGGGACTGCTGCATGGCCAGCGAGAGCCAAATCTGATAGCATCTTGTCACCAAGATGGATTGGGAATATTTAGGACAACAGCAACTGGGATTTCAAAATGAATCCCTTCTCATGGAAATGAGGTTTGGGGATTCAGCTAGGAAGTGCAGCTTCCTCACTTCCCATGCTGGTCGTCATCCTGCCAAAACAAAACTGTACACATTTAGTCCAGAAATGATAAAAGGAACAGAGGACGTTGGGTTGAAATTGGATTGATCCGGTTGTGTAACACCTCTGCAAAAGGAGGAAACGCTCAGTGACGGAGGGATGTTTATGTCTCAGCAATAGAATTCAGCGTCCTTTCCCTCGAGCAAGTTAGGTCTGAGAGAACACAGAACACGCTTTAGGATTGTGAGGCTTGGAAGGGACCTTGGAGGTCTTCTAGTCCAACCCCCGGCTTGTATAACAGGCAGATCAAATGGAGAAATACCAAAAGTTGTGCAGAAGCTGCACTTTTCTGGTCTTTCTGAAACAACAATATTTCTGTAAGCTTTTGAAACAATCTGGCTGACGTGGTATGACCCAGTAGAATTAAATAGTGGTATCGTGCACACATCATTCTAGATCAGGGGTCAGCAACCTGCGGCTCTGGAGCCGCATGTGGCTCTTTCACCCCTCTGCTGCGGCTCCCTGTCACTCAAAATATGCGTTGCAACCGCCAATGTGCGACACCCGCCAGCACGTGATTCATTGAGCTTTTCAACCTCTGGTAGGCCAACCATGGATAAATCCAAGAAAAGAAAAGTTTCAGAAGAAAACAGAACGTTGAATTCAACTACATAGGCTAGTTTTGTGGCCGCTCAAGAAATAGTCAGGCACGGGAAGGGTTTTGTGGCTCCCGGTGTTTTCTTTTCTGTGGGAAACGGGTCCAAATGGCTCTTTGAGTGTTTAAGGTTGCCGACCCCTGTTCTAGATCAAAAAGGTGAACCTAAAGTCTCCTTGGCCTTTCGGGACACAAAGAGGTTTCTTTCTTGACTCCCCCCCCCATTTTTTTTTCCTGGGAGTATATTCAATTTTCCAGTCAGGCCAACAGCCCCAGATTTCTTAGTAATGCTCATCCAAGCACCAACCAATTTTAGGCATACTTAGCCTTAATCTCAGAGAAGACAGGCTAATGACAGCGAGAACAATTAATCAGAGGAAGAACTTGCCTCCAGAAGTTGTGAATGGTCCATCAATGGAGGTTTTCAAAAAGAGGATGGACATCTATTTGGGCAGGATGGTATAAGGCTCTTGCTTTGGGGGGGGGGGGTTGTTAGACTAATAGAGAGATTAACAGATTAACAGAGTTGGAAGGGACCTTGTAGGTCATCTAGTCCAACCCCCCGCCCAAGCAGGAGACCCTACACCATTTCTGACAGATGGCAGTCTAATCTCTTCTTGAAAGCCTCCAGGGATGAAGCTCCCACAACTTCTGAAGGCAACTTTTGTTCCATCAGTTGATTGTTCTGTCAGGAAATTCCTCCTTATATCCAGGTTGAATCTCTCCTTGATCAGTTTCCATCCATTGTTTCTTGTCTGGCCTCCAGGTGCCTTGGAAAATAGCTTGACCCCCTCCTCTCTGTGGCAGCCCCTCAAATATTGGAAGGATGCTATCATGTCTCCCCTGGTCCTTCTCTTCACTAGACTAGCCAGGCCCAGTTTCTGCAATCTTCCAATCTTCCCTTTTGCTATTCTGCTATCCTGCTATGATACAAAATCTGCCCAGCTGGTGCCCAGTGAATTTGTAGAATCAAATGCTGGACTGTTACAGCTTGGGCAGAAAAGATATGACTTGGCCTTTCAACTCTCTGAAGCTCCAATCCATTCTTATCTCTAGTTTGATAAGAAGGACTTTCCGGACTTTTCATATCATTGCCTTAATGATCCCTAGGTTTGCACAAGAGATTTTACGATCTATTAACAGAACTGCGAAAGTCCTGTTATTTTGTTAGCAGGTTGTTAATTATTGTTGGGTGGGAAAATCATCTTAGGTGGGAGGGTTAGGAAAATAAAACTGCCTTGAAATGGATAAGCCTTTAACGTTAACACCCAATTATTAAAACAAAGGGCTCTTAAACATTTGTCCTCTCAAATTCCTCTTTTTTTCCCGCTCCTCTGGGATTAAAAAATAGGTAGACTTCTCATTTTGCCTGCTTTTAATTTTTGGGGGTGTGGTGTTTGGTTGGCTTTTAGGACAACTTATGCACTGGGTCAGAGGTGGGTTTCAGCAGGTTCTGGCCAGTTCTGGAGAACCGGTAGCAGAAATTTTGAGTAGTTCGAAGAACCGGTAGCAAAAATTCTGACTGGTGCCGCCCCCATCTATTCTTTGCCTCCCTAGTCCCAGTTGATCGGGAGGAAATGGGGATTTTGCCGTAACCTTCCCCTGGAGTGGGGAGGGAATGGAGATTTTGCAGTATCCTTCCCCTGGAGTGGGGAGGGAATGGAGATTTTACAATATCCTTCCCCTGGAGTGTGGTGGGAATGGAGATTTTACAGTATCCTTCCCCTACCACGCCCACCAAGCCATGCCACAGAACCGGTAGTAACAAAATTTTGAAACCCACCACTGCACTGGGTGCATAAACAAATAATTATGTCTGTTTTGGGAGAAGCAAGTAGATTCTATTAGTTAATCAGAACAATGAAATTCTCCATGAAGCTGAAGTATTAGCACCGCTTTATGAAGCCTTAATGGGACCACATTTAGAATACTGCATCCAGTTTTAGTGACCATGTTATAAAAAAAAACTCTAGAAAGAGCGCAGAGAAGAGCAACAAAGATGATTAGGGGACTGGAGGCTAAAACATATGAATTACAGATTCGTTATAGAAATTGGGTATGTCTAGTCTAGTGAAAAGAAGGACTAGGGGAGGGGACACATGATAGCAGTGTTCCAGTATTTGAGGGGCTGCCACAAAGAAGAGGGATCAATGTAATTTTTTCAAAGCACCAGAAGGCAGGACAAGAAACAATGGATGGAAACTAATCAAGGAGAGAAGCAACCTAGAAATAAGAAGAAATTTCCTAACAGTGAGAACAATGAGCCAGTGGAACAGCATGCCTTCAGAAGTTGTGGGTGCTCCATCACCGGAGGCTTTTAAGAAGAGACTGGACAGCCACTTGTCTGGAATAGGGTCTCCTGCTTGAGCAGGGGGTTGGACTAGATGACCTTGTATTTGTATTTTGTATTTTATTGAATTTGTATACCGCCCTACTCCCGAAGGACTCAGGGCGGTGAACAGCCATAGAATAAAACATATAAATACAAAATTTAAAATAGAATAAAACGAATTAAATAATTTGGCTGAACAAATTTAAAACCCCAATAATTTAAAACCAAATTTAAAATTTCCATTTAAAAAAGGGAAAGACTTAGGTCAGGCCAGCTTGATGAAATAGGAAAGTCTTGAGCATGCGACTGAAGGTGCGTAGATCCGGGATCCTCCGTATCTCCGGGGGGGGAGCTCGTTCCAGCTAGTAGGTGCCCCCACAGAGAAGGCTCTCCCCCTGGGGGCCACCAGTCGACATTGTTTGGCCGACGGCACCTGGAGGAGCCACTCTCTATTAGAGCATACCAGCCGGTGGGAGGCTATTGGTGGTAGCAGGCGGTCCCGTAAATAACCAGGTCCTAAGCCATGGAGCGCTCTAAAGGTGGTAACCAAAACCTTGAAGCGCATCCGGAAGACCACCGGGAGCCAGTGCAGCTCGCACAGGAGAGGTGTTACATGGGAGCTCCACGTCACTCCCGTCACCACCCGCGTGGCACTCTGCGCCAGTTGGAGCCTTCGAGTGCTCCTCAAGGGGAGCCCCATGTAGAGAGTGTTACAATAGTCCAGACGGGAGGTGACGAGGGCATGAGTTGAAGTCCCCAAGTCTTAAAGCTGCCAAGTTTGGGGACCCTTGGTATATGGTATCTTGCTCTAGCATGAGGGTTGGACTAGATGACCTCCAAGTTCCTTCCAGCCCTATGATTCTAGGCTCTGTGTTTTTTTAAAATAAAATAAAATCAGAGAAATAGGAGAGCAGGGGAATGGGAATCTCCCAAGGGGAATTGGTGAGCCAGAATAGCTCAGGTCCATCAAAAGGGTGACATGGATGGTACTAATCTACAAAACAACCCTACAAGGCAGAGCAAGAGGAAATGAGGACAATCCACATAGAGGTTCTGTAGAGAATTTTTGAGGGATGTTTTTCCCAAATGGACGGTGGGGGTGGGGGGTGTTGAAGTAGGCAGAGGGGATGGCGGAGACCAGGAGGGGCGTTTGGAAGGGATGGAGCAAGAATGCCTCCCCTCCCTAGAAGAACGGGTGGGGGTGGGTGGGGGGGTGGCGAGGGTGCTTGGGGACGAAGAGGCGAGGCGAGGGCCTCTGTGTGGCTTCAATCTCCCACCTCCCCAAAAGGTGGGAGGGGAGGAAAACCACCTATCCGGAATGGATGGAGGAGAGGGATGGAAGGGGGCTTCCCAGAAAGCCAATGGGGGGGGAAGGGGAAGCAACACTGGAGGGGAGGGATGCAAGGGGGCTTCCCAGAAAGCCAATGGGGGGTGGGAGAAGGGGAGGGGGAGGGGGAAGCAACTATGGAGGGGAGGGATGGATGGAAGGGGGCTTCCCACAAAGCCACTGCAGGAAGAAAGAGGAGGGGAAAGCAGCTCCCAGCTTCGCGTTCATTGATGGGTGGTCCAAGGAAAGGAGGACGGAGGGGCAGCCAGATGGCGGGGAGCGTGCAATACTTTTCCCCCTTCTCACTCACCGCCACTCCAGGCAACCGGCGTCCTCGGCTTGCGACCGCTTTCGCCCCGACGTCTCCCGGCGCCGCCACAGCTCCCCTTGCTGCAACTGGCGCGGCCGAAAGAGCGAAGCCAGCAGCTGGCTCGGCTCGCCGAACGCGCCGCAGCCAATCCGAGGGCAGAGCTCGCCGCCTTTGCTACGGCCTGGCCAATGGCAGGGGCCGGTCAGGACACACCCCTGGTCGAAGGGAGGGGCGGCGGCGGGGCTGTAAGGGGTGGGGTGTTCGAAGAAGACTGACGTCTTCTGCTTTCTCCGCCAGTGTGGGACTTCAGTTCCCATGGTTCCCAACCGGGCAGCCGGAGGTCCGGCTGAGGTTGGGGGGTTGCTGCTCTTGGAATTCCTTTCTGCTGCTGATCAGGGAGAATAGAGCCGCAGGGGCAGATTAGGGACCCCCCCCTCCTTCCTGGAGCAATGTACTCCTGACATGCTCAGAGGTACCTTAGCCTTGCTCCTGGAGGCGAGGTGATAAGGGTTGGTGAGAGGAGTCGCCCTTAAAATCCCGATCTCAAAATAATTTCGTTGCCACCAACAGGCATCCAAGACCATTTGGCATTTTCCAATAACCTGAAACATCCCTCCCCCACACCCAACTGATGGGTGTGTGAATTTAATTGCATCCCTTATTTATTCTTCAAGGATGCTTCCAACAGATAGGATGTCACATCTGGATTTTGGAAGTACAATGGAGCTGTGAAAGGACACAAGAGTGCCTTTCTGTTCAGTAAATATGGCGTTACAGCAAGCCACAAATAATCAGAATTTGCAGATGTTTTTTCTGCATTCACGCCTGTTCACAGCCACCCAGCATTCAAGGGTCGAGATTCCCCTTGCTTTGTTTTGACTTGGGAAACAAAGCAGCTCTTAGGAAGGTCTCTTTAAAAAACCACCAATTATTGAAGCGGGCAAGAGGTGATGGATGGATGACTTCTCTTTTTTGTTCTTGTTCTAAGCTGCTTTTCCTTTTCTCTCTCTCTTTCTCTTTTCCTTTTTTTTTTTTTTTAGGTAGGTGGCATGATTAGAAGTTAGATAGGATAGAAAGAAAAAGTCTTTTAATAAAGGGTGACATGATTAAAAGCTAGAATAAGTGATGGAAATAAGAGAAGGGGGAATATTAGTGTATACATTTTTATATCATTTAGTTAGTTAGTTAGTTATTTAGTTTATTATATTTATATACCGCCCTTCTCCTGAGGGACTCAGGGTGGTGAACAGCCATGGTAAAAACAATATAAACACGAAAATAACAAGAAAAAACGCGGGATAATTGAACAATGATATACTGCAACCTAATATAAATGTGTATTATTACCCTGTTTCCCCTAAAATAAGACCTCCCCTGATAATAAGCCCAATCGGGCTTTTGGGCGCATGTACTAAAATAAGCCCACCCTGAAAATAAGCCCTCCCCAAAAATATTTAAACGCATCCGCAGCCAGTCCCTGCCATGTCCTCTGGTTTGCTCCACGCGCCCCAAAATAATAAGACCTCCCGAAAATAAAGCCAAGCGTTTATTTCGGGGTTCAAAAAAATATAAAACAGGGTCTTATTTTGGGGGAAACATGGTATTAGAAATACATAAGTTGATTGAATGTAATAATTATGATTAACCTGATTAGTTTTACTTGTATTAATTAGAATGTATGACAGCCAGTTGCCACACTGTTCACGCATTGATTTGATATTTTTATTTTTTTTTTAAATCCTTTTTTTTTTTTAAATCACTACTTACCATCTAAGAGCTTGTCATTTCCTGAACTCCCCAAAGATTTCCTCTGCTTTGTCAGATGATTAAGAAGGTGTAACTTCAAGCCTTCACCGTTTAGGGTTGAGGGTGAGGCTCACCTTCATTGTTACATTTATATGCCACCTGTATTTTAGTGTACGTATTGTTCCCACCTCTTATTTTTTCCAGCAGTGGCCCATACTGATTACTGATTGAAGTTCCTGTCTTAACTGTGGACTTAAGTCAAGGACTACCTGTTCTTTCTTATTTTGTTATCTTGAAATTATTAGATTTTTATCTTGTCTTTTATTTAACACACACACACAAACACACACACACATCAACTCAAAGTGACACTCGTAAGAGAAAGAGTCTGGCCCAAAGCCACCCATGGGACTTTCATTCTCCAAAGCAATAGCACTTAGACTTATATACCACTCCACAGTGATTTGCAACCTTCTCTAAGCGGTTTACAGAGTCAGCCTCTTGCCCCCAACAATCTGGTTTCTCATTTTACCCACCTTGGAAGGATGGGAGGCTGAGTCAACCTTGAGCTGGTCAGGATCGAACTCCTGGCAGTGGGCGGAATTAGCCTGCAATACTGCATTCTAACCACTGGGAGGGAAGGAAGGAAGGAAGGAAGGAAGGAAGGAAGGAAGGAAGGAAGGAAGGAAGGGCATTAGCAGTAGTACTTAGACTTACATATTGCTCCACAGTGATTTACAGCCTTCTTTAAGCCAGGGGTGGGCAACTATGGCCCTTTTATGATTTGTGGACTTCAACTCCCAGAATTCCTGAGCCAGCCATGTTAGCTCAGGAATTCTGGGAATTGAAGTCCACAAGTCATAAAAGGGCCATAGTTGCCCACCTCTGCTCTAAGCGGTTTACAGAATCAGCCTCTTGCCCCCAACAATATGGCTCCTCATTTTACCCACCTGGGAAGGCTGGAAGGCTGAGTCAACCTTGAGCCGGTCAGGATCGAACTCCTGGCAGTGAGCAGTGAATTAGCCTGTAATACTGCATTTGTAACCACTTCACCACCAAGGAAGGAAGACTAGAACTCAGGATCACCTGGTTTATAGTTCATTGCTTTAATCCCACCCATCAAACTGAGTCTCGGGCAGCAACAAAAATCAATATTTCCCCCCAATATCAAGATTTTAATATTGGGAAGAAACCTCCAAATCCACCTATTTAACCTGGCTCAACTCCAGGGCTTTACTCACCCTAGTCACAACTCCCACTGAACTGATTATCTTCACCCTAAGTGTGATGCTCAGTTCACCAACAAGCTTAATTTAAGGATAAACTCAACCAATGGGATTGCCTTTCAGAAAAACACTGTGGGATTATTTTTAGCATTCAAAGCCATTCGTGAGCCAAGAGGCTGTCGAAACATCCCACAGTTGCAAGACGGGAAGTAGAATAGAGGTTCCATATCTGGTCATTTTCACTAAGACCGTTTGACGTAACAGATTCCTGCGTGATTGGTAGCTGCCTCAAAGGAAGGGAGCCCGGGATAGCCGATCTACCTGCAAGGAGCCACACAATCCTCTCTATTTCATTGCCCTTCAAATACAGGCAGTCCTCGACTTATGACCACAATCGAATCAGAATTTCTGTTTTGTTTTGAATAAGAAATTGAAATGAGAATAAAGATAATTAGAAAATCGGGGCTGCTCGAATACCACTTTAGGTTGAACTGAAAAGGAAAACAACAGGAGAGGGGAAGGAGTAGAGAGAGAGAGGAAGGGAGAAGGGCGGAGAGGAGAGGAGAAAGAAGAAAGGGAAAAGGAGAGGAAGAAAAGGGAGGGGAAAGAGGAGCAGAGGAGAAGGCTGGAAGGAGGGAAAAAGAGGGGAGTGGTGGAAGAGAAAGGGAAGTAGGAAAGAGAAGGAGAGAAAGAACGAAGGAAGTAGGAGGAGAAAGAGGAAGGAAGAGAAGGGGAGGAGAAGAAGAAAGGTTGGAGCAAAGGTAAAGGGTAAAAGAGCAGCCCCGAAAAAGTAAAAATGAAAAATGAAAGTTAAAAGAAAAGATGAATGAAAAATGATGGAAATGACTGTACATGTAAATGGGTTTATGAGAAATAAAAATAAAAAACTTTTTTAAAAAAAAGAATGTAAATCATGGGATCATGGAGCTGTTGCAACGGTCTTACTTGTTAAAAATGGTCCCAAGACACTTTTTTCAGTGCCGTTGTAACTTTGAATGGCGACTACCTGAATCGTTGTCAGTTGAGGACTCCCCGTAGTGTGATTAAAGTCTTCGGCTTTATCTCCTGTGGGCAGCAAACTAATTCTGATGTCCCTCGCTTGCTTTCTCTTAGGTGCTGAGTGTGGAGACAGAGGCCGGAGTGTCTTTATTTAAGCAGAACAATTTCTAGATAAAAGTTAGCAGGAGAGGACTTGGCCTGCTAACAAGGGAAGGTCATTGTGACCAGGGAGTTACAGGACTGATCAACCGGAATTTCTGCAGACCAACATTTGCAATTTAACAGGTTTAACAGATTAACAGAGTTGGAAGGGACCTTGTATTGTAGGTCATCTAGTCCAACCTCCCACCCAAGCAGGAGACCCTACACCATTTCTGACAGATGGCAGTCCAGTTTCTTCTTGAAAGTTCCAGGGATGAAGCTCTCACAACCTCCGAAGGCAACTTCTGTTCCATGGGTTGATTGTTCTCACTGTCAGAAAGTTCCTCCTTATTTCCAGGTTGAATCTCTCCTTGTTCAGTTTCCATCCATTATTCCTTGTCTGGCCTTCGGGCGCTTTGGAAAACAACTTGACCTTCCCCTTATTTCCAGGTTGAATCTCTCAATTAATCTCAATCAATGCTGATGATGATATCCCCAGGGGATGATTTGAGAAACTAACCCATTTATGTCAATGGCTATTCTCAATCATCCAGCTCATGGTTGTCCCAAAGGTTCCACACTCATTTGCATTATTCAGGTGATCCCAAGGGCAAAGATAAAGTGGCAAAGTGGCCTCAACAATTCTCACAGAGAGTGCTAATGACCAGATGCCTGCAAAGAATATAAATCCTTCCATCCTCCGCCATTCAATCAGAATTGAAGAAGCTTCTTGGATGAGAAGTGAAACGTCTTCAAGCAAAACAAAATCCAGTTGCCTTTGGGGGGGGAAGCATCTTTGGGACAATTGAATGTGAAAGTTGCTGAGATTTCTTTCTTTTTTCCCCCCAGACTTGCTTCAAGGAAGGCCTTCAAAATTCTCCTCTATGAATCCCGTCTTCGAACTTCTCTCAATATTATTTAAGCCTACAAATATTCACCAAAGGTGCTTTGGCATCCCTGTGAATAGCTGGCATCTCATCATTTGACCCGTGCTAATGTTTAA